TTCCCTGTACCTCTTAAAAAGTCAGTCCTCCCTTTCTGCACTTTTATTTTCCATATATCACTTTACATTATAAAATCTTGCCAAAATCCAGGCAGCTTTTCCAGTTTAGAATTACTTAATTCTCTACAATACAGACAATTTTGTCAAATGTGTCTTGCTGTAGCACATCCACAGTTAAAGCTGGCAGATCAAGCAGCATATCAATCATTTCAAATCTCTCCAGAATTAATCACCAAAGGGGGGTGAATTCAGCTTTGAAAATAAAAAAATTTCATCTGAGGTGTAGGCATTTTACCATAAACAGACAGAAAGTGCTCAGTTTAATTAGGTCTTCTGTCTCTGTTTAGGAGTTCCACCAAATTTCCTGGTAGATGGTTCTTGTTATGTCAGTCCACGTAGCGACTGGGAGATAGAAGGATGTCATACGGTAGACACCCTCTTTGAGAAGCTGAGAGAAAACCTTAAATACCTCTTTTGGCTAGGCAGTACTGCTTTGCACTGTTGAAATGAGCTCCTTTTAGCTCTATCCCCACAGCAGCAGACTGAGGCAGGAGGCAGTCTTCTATCAATATAAAAGTGTTCTCAGCAAGTGTGAGAGTAAAAACATTCTACTATCTGAGCTAACACAGAATTTGGGGAGTCTGGATTGAGGGTAGTTAGAAAAATCTTCTTGTTGAGAATCTGTAACTTCTTCCCTAAAAAACGGCTCTCACTCTCCAATTGATCATTGATTGGTTTAAACAACTGCACCTGATGAATGTTCACCACAGCTAAATACTAGCTTAGAGTTTTTTGCTCTGGCTCACTGTTGAACAGTATATATCTCTAATGTGTCCATTCTTCATTGTCATTTTTTGGTATCCATCCAGTTCTTTGGGGTATGTAGAGAGGGGCTATCCCAAAGTTTTGCAGTGGCTGAGGGATTTTACTAAAGAGCTGAGAATAGTATGTTAGAGAGGTTATAGCTTAGATGTACATTAAATTTACTCACTTTTGAAAGGGGACACCCAAAGCGTGTGGCCTTATAAAAAGATAGCAGCGTCACAGTCTGTTTATACCTGGTCCTGCTCTGTATCAGGTGACCCTTCCATGTTAGCCACAACTGCAGAACTAGGAGACAGTACCTGGCTAGGAGCGGCCAATTCATCAGCTGCTTGGTGGTTTAGGAGAGAGACTCATTAGAGAATGATGACAGAATCAGATTCTCCCCTGTAGGGCATTTGCTTATGAGATACATGGAGAAAGCTGTCACTGGGTATGGGAGCAGGAGTGGAAAAACAGGCAGAGACACAAAGCTGTGGTTGTGAAATATGAATTATTTCTGTGTTCTGAAGCTATTTCATAAGGAGTTGAAGCAGCTGGCTGTTCTGACCTAAGAGCTGCTTACATCCATCTCTTTTTCCCAGTCTGTCTTCAGAAACATTAGATTACTAAGAATGTTCATACCACATAAACTGGTAGATGGTACAAATCAGGTCTACCTCCCTACACTTCTGGATCCAGGTTGGTTTGCAGATGTTTACAAGCACACCACTGAGATAGGGGAAGTATGGTATAGGAAGCAGGGGGAATAAGTTCTCTGGTGGGTCCTTGGTCTTAAAATTAGTGTTTAGAGAGATATGTTAAAATGCTTGTTACTAATATTCTTATGAAAAAAATCAGAGCATTGTGGAATATATGATTAAAATATTAGTAATTAAATTATAAAACTTGTAGGGTTGTGGTCCGAAGATGGCACTTTTCCTATTCTGCCAGTTGTCAAAGGTACAGATCCTATCCACCCCCCAGGCCTACAAACCATGGTCAGACAAGCTAGGTAAGCCTCTGGTCTTATTTCCACATATATTCTTTACCTCTAGTACTTGAAGTAACCTAAGTACTTAAAACCCTGAAAGTTCAAGATACAGTTTTTGAATGTCCTTCCTTGTTAAACGTATGTGAAGAAAATAAACTAGATTAGTAAGGTGAAAAAGTATATTTGGAATGAGGTTTGAGTTCCAATATTTCCTTACCTTCCCCTGGTACTATATTATTTACTTTAATCAGTTCTTAGCTGTAAAATAAGGACAAAAATAATAAACTCTCAGATATTTGTAAGGATTTAAATGAGGCACTGTATGTAAAACATTTAGCCCAGTGTTCACCACTTACTATGCACTCATTGACTTATTTTCTCATCTTCTTCATACAGTTAAGTCAACTCTTTGGGATAACTACTGAGCTAGCTGTGAGGGGCCATGTGTCTATAAACCCAGCACTCATGGCTGGAGAGACAGTTTAGCAGACTGAGTGCTTGCTCTGGTAAGTGCAGGAACCAGGGTTTGATCATAGTGGCACTTGCCTGTAATCCCAGTGCTAGGGAGGCTGAAAGCAGGAGAATCACTACAAGTCCGGGCTGTGCAGTAAGACTCTGTACCAAATACATAAAAAGAAAAAAAAAAAAAAAAGAAGTGTATAGTCCCAGCACTCAAGAGATTGAGGGTGGAAGACTGACTGTAAGCTCAAGTCCATCCTGTCTCAGGATGTAGCACAGTGGAAGGCCCTGGGTTCAATCCCAGTGCAGCAAAAACAACATCATCATCAACAACGAAGGTTGCTGATACTGAAGTCTTAAAAGTTGAGAAGGCTTTTTTTTTTTTTTTTTTTTTTTGTATTTTAGGGAAGGGTCTACAGGGTGTTCAGGGTCTCACTATTAGATTGGACTCCTAGTGATCCGCCTGTTTGCAGCCTCCCAAATGACGGGATTACAGGCAAAATGAAGAGTTGATCAATTAATTCTCCATTTATATTAACATGAATTAAGTTTAAAGTGACATTACAGTCAGTATATTTGCATTTTTGTACTTGAGATCATTCAGTGAAAATATCTGAAATGCAGCCATAATTATAATCCTTGGAAACATTCTCTCTCTCTCTCTCTCTCTCTCTCTCTCTCTCCCTCCCTCCCTCCCTCCCTCCCTCCCTCCCTCCCTCCTTTTTGTGCCAGGAAGGTAAATACTGTACCACTGAGCTATATCCCCAGATCTCTTTTCTCCATTCTTAAGGCAGTTCCTATATTCCAGTCTACAAATACTTGTGTTCATTTCATTTTTGTTTTAAACATTTAGACTATCGGCAAAGAGCTGTGCTAGGTGTTCTAAGAGAAGTAAGAAACATGTTTATGTAAAACAAGATAAAGACATAAAAGAGGGAAAAGGCAAGGAATACTCAAGTTTCCCAATAATTTCAACTACCGAGATTCTAGGTGCCTAATTGAATAATAATGTTATGGGTAATTTAAGCCCCTTTTTAAAAACTATTACAATTTATTTACTGTTAGTTTACTCAGGTCACTTGCTCTTACTCCCATTATCAGTGCTAATATATTAAGGGTGAAATCTGCCTGCTTGCCAGTGATAATTCATGGGATGTAGTGGTGGTTTTAATACCAGATGTTTTGAGGGAAGCCACTTGCAAAAGGACTAGTTTTTGGCTTACAGATCTTAATATTTTGCCAGAATTGAATTTGTTTTGAAATAAGATTTCACATTTTCAAATAAAACACTTTCAAACAAATGGTGTGATGTACAAATTATCATCATTTTAGTTCATGGTGGAACAATCCATCCTCTAAATCTGTTTGACATTTACCCCCGAAGTGTTTTGCATCAATAAATCATTTCTGTAGCATCTTAAATGTTCATAAATAATTTTATAACATTCTGCCTATGCAGGTCCTGTCCCATTGAGTAAAAAATACAGTAATTAAGACATAATCACCGTGTCTTGAAAAGCTAAGGGTCATTTGAACTTGATGACTCAAGGAGTTGGTGCCAAAGAATAGTCAGGCAGCTACAGGTTTGGGCCTATACTTGGTCTGGGACTGAAATTTTGTCCATCAGAGGTAGCACCTTTTAAACAAATTTTAACTTTGTGCCTTACACGCAAAGCTACAATAACTACCTTAGGAGTGTGTGTGTGTGTTTAAGAGGTGGGAAATGAATATAGATTGGAGGCAGAAACAATGTCTGATACAAACTACCGGTCTTAGGGTGTGAAAATTAAATTCTATCAATTAGCCTGCCTCAACTCCATATATAGCTCAGAGGAGACTCTTTGGAATTGTGTACACACACACACACACACACACACACACACTGTAGCGTGCTGGGCTGCAGGACCCACTCACCTGGAGGGCAGGGGTGGGTCTCTGTATTGTAATGTTGGTACTGCACGTGTGGGAAAGCTCACCTGCGCGACAGAGAAGGGCAGGGCCTTACTCATCCCCACTGGGGTATTTGCCAAAACTTGTACGCCGTGGCTGTCAAATGTCTCGACTCTGACAGGTCTTCCCCACGGGTGCCTGGCTCCTCGTTCACCGTCTCCGTGCTGTCCGCGCATCCTCCAGAGGCTCGGCCGGACCCGAGGAGGTGCCGGGGTGCCCCGGGTCCCCGCGCAGAGGGGGGACGCTCGGGGCGGCGCGGGGCCGAGCAGGAGGCGGGGGCTGGCGGCTCCGAGCCCGGGCAGCGGGCTCCCTCGCCGGCTGCTATGCTCATATTTGGACTCGGCGGCCCGCGCCCAGGAATTTCCCGTCATGCCTCCCGCCGCCCCGTCCGTCGCCCGGAGCCGGGAGGCGGAGGAGGGAGGCTCGGACCGCGGCGGCGGCGGCGGCGGCAGCGGCGGGGCCTGTCCATGAGCGCGCGGCGGCCGCTCCCGCACCCGCTCTCCTTCTGCCTGCGTCTCAGCCTGTGCCTTGCCGCGGCGCAGGGCGCCGCACAGTCGGGTAAGTTCGGGGACCCCGGCCGCGCC